GAATATTAGGTAGTATCTCTTTCCTGGGTTGGAGCAGATAAACTGGGATGAGTCATAGAGTGCTTATTTCCAGAGATAGCTTGAGCAATAGAAAAGGGGCCATGAATACTTCAGGCAAAAGTACTTGATATTAGGCTTAGCTGGCATGAAGGTCACTGGTTTTTGTTATTTTTCCCCCTCCCTAAGTAGATGAAGGTCTCTTCAAACAGACTGCAGAAATACCAATTAGTGTGTTTCATTCTGAAATGTAATTAGATTTAAAATGTAAAAAATCCCTTTCAGCTACACTATAATCGGGGCCCCTAATTATGAAAGGCATATGTTCCCCTCCATCTTTCCTCCCCTCCACCCATGTAGATAATTGTCCTTCTAGAATGATTTCTTCTTTGTAAAAATCTTTGTGACGTCCTCCTCCCGATTTGCTCAAAGCAACACTGTTATCTGGTGCATTAGTTTTATGCTGTTGGATTCTTGCAGGATAATATACAATGCAGTTACACTCATTACTTGCTATTCTGTGTGTCATCTGTGTTTTGGAATATCTCAAAGCTTGTCAGTCTTCCACTGGGGATTACATCATTTTGGGGGTCTCAACTGCTCTGAAACAAAAGCATACTTCAGGAGGAAAATATGTATGCCCGGACAGTTGGCAGACTTTCAACACTCCAGGCTTGACACAGAGTTAATCGCAAAGAAATGTATTTTTTTTTTTTTTTGCTATTCATAGTAACTAAACAATTATTTCCGTATATGTTTTGGGGCTATGTGGGTTTTTTGCTCAATGCAGGGATTTCTTTACAGATCGTAATTACTGACAAAAGATACATTTCCATGTTTCCAGCTGCTGCGGGATTTATTCTCAGGTGGTGATTTTGGTTTTTGCTTGGCCTTTGAGTGTTTTGGCAGTCATGGATTCAAATTAGTAGCTGTTTCTACAGCGGTTTAGCTGATGGCGTTTGAAATATGTAGGTCTCAGTGTTGTAGCCTGCCTCCCTTTCTGGGGCAGACCTCTGCAGAAAAAGATTTATG